TATAAAGGCAATTACAAAATTTATTTGAAAACAGACAAGATTAATTGGAGATTTAAATACTAAATTAGATTTTAGTACCTAACTTTGTTGACATTTGTTCTGTTATTTTCTTTATGTTGTTTGACCTCTCTGTCCTGTTGTTTCATTGTATACAAAATAATTGCTTTACATGACATTTAAGGTTCCATCAATTTGTACCCACTTACATCTAAGGAGATATAAGCATTTATTGATCTTTTTTGACATGGATAATTATTGTGGATCCTGAAGGATTTTAATGATATTTTATTTAAAACAATAGATTCTATTCCATTTTTTATAAACTTTATTTGTTGCAAATTATTGTTATTCCTATTAATTATACTGTGTGTGCATAAAAGTGCATATGTGCATGCTTTTTTATGTATTTAAAATAAATATTCCCTAGTGCCATGAAAATAACTATGAATGTAAAATACATCTATCTTTGGGGTTTCTGAATGTGGGGAAGGGCTGATATGAGGTATGATATATCTTATCATGTACTGATGAGAAGAATCAGCAACTATCTGGTTAAATGAAACCGTGAAGTCAGGTGAGGTGTTGCATGTCTGTGATCCCAGCAACTCAGGAGGCTGAGTCAGGAGGATCAAAAGTACCAGGGTAGCTTCTGCAACTTAGCAAGACCTTCAGAAATTTAGTGAGAGCGTGTCTCAAATATATAAAAAAATCAACAGGATTTTGGGTATTGCTCAGTATTAAAGGAAAGTGGTTTCAATCCCTAGTAACAAAAAAATAAAAATAAGAAAAGACACACACACACACACACATGCACACACGCACACACATACACACACACATGAAAATAAAATCATGAGAACTGTCACAAGCCCTTGTATTCCTTCATGAAATTCATTCTTCTTTTCACCACATGCTGGGTGAACCTAAATCTGACCACTGAAATATGACTGACAAATTCTACACTTGCTTCTTGGAGGTGAGAGAAGGGTGTACTCAAAATAAGTATTCATTTGGAGCCTACGCATGAATAACTCCGTATTTCCATTGTTAAAATTCTAGTCAAAGATTTAATTACAGTGTGAGTGGCAAGTGTCACTTTTATCATTAACTTCCTTTAGAGGGGCAATGTTAAAAGAATGTGCTTAATGCAGTGGGTTAGGAAACACAGCCTCATCATGGGCACACTGAAGAAACTGAGGTGGATGACACTGTCCATGAGTATGTGTGTGGTGGGGAGGAAGCTGTGTATACACATGTGTGTGTCTCATTCATGACTGGCTTTTCCTGAGAACAAGAATTACCAAGAGAATCCAAGACATAAACCTTTTAACAAGCTCCCTTCCCCTGCCTAAATATATCCCAGTCCTATTAATCCACTTTTCCTCATGACATAGCTCACAGATGGGGACCAAAAGCTACGTACGGGGAAAGAATAAAAGTCTTAATGAGCATGAGAAGCATCTCATAGGAATGATTCCTTTGAGGTTAATTAATTTAAAAAGTTCTCTTTTTGATGATTTCCTTTGAGAGATCGTACAGCTTGATGTGAGAGTAAGAAAATATTTTGAAAATATGTTTCTTATTGGTAGTTTTCCATTATTTAATTTAAGGAATAAGGACTATTTTCTGAGTTTCAACAAATGATGTTAATGGGAATGACCAGGGAAAGCACATGCTGGTAGCAATGGTTCACATCTTGGATTGTACATGAGAGTCATGAGGGCAGAAGCATGTGTAAGAGTGAGACAAACTCAGAGCTGAATGCTTTGATATACTTTGAGCAAGTTGCCCAAGTTGTCAGTCTCATTTTCCTAAATGAGAGATAATAGAGATAATCAGTACTTACCTCATGGAAAAAACATGAGAATTAAATGAGACAAGAATGCAAAAGACCAGGCAGAGTACTCACATTAAACGTTCTCCAAATCCTGGCTAATCTATTAAATGCCTTATAAATCTTGGCTAATCACAACCATTTCCTGGTAATAGCTTTATTTTGTTCTTTTCCACCTATAGTTATATTTTTAATAAGTTTCTCAGCTTGCTCATGTAATCCAAATACTATTCAATCTAATATAACTTTTCATCTCATGTTTTTGCTTAGGTTAAATTACTTTGAGAAAATCCTAATTCATAGTGGTTATAAACAGGTGCACTGACATTTATAATGTTTCCTGAGAGTTTGGAGCAATTTGGGCAAAGGGTCTTCTTCTCTACTTTATTCCCCTTACCAAGTCTTTGTTATATCAGCATATAAATTGTTAGTTGCTGCTAACAGATTAAAATAAACAATACAGATTGAAATGACATACACTGTGTAATTCCAATATTACTTTCAATGTCTACTATTTTTGTAATAGTAAACAATAGGGCAATATAATAAAGGATTCAGCATTTAAGTAACCTTAAATAAAGAAAAACTGTGTGAATTAAAATGGGAAACAGCCCATTTTTTTACTTTAATTCAACATATTGTTAAGTATAAATTAATTTTGTAAAGTATTTTATAAAAACTAAGTTAAAATACTTTATTATACACAATAATAGATGTAATAGTTAACATTAAGAATCAGCTTGATTGAACCACAGTTTCCAGACACTTGGCCAGATAGTTTTCTGAGTGCATCTGTGAAAATGTTTTCAATGAGACTAGCATTTCAATCAATAGACTAAATAAAAGGCATTGCCTCCTTAATGTGGGTGGTCCTTATTCAATTAATTTGAAGTCTTCAATAGAATGAGGATGGTAAGAAAATAGAAATTTGGAGGCCCTATTGATTGAGCACTTGGTTCTTCTCCTGCCCTTCTCCCGAAATTTACACCACTGTCTCTCCTGGTTCTCAAGTCTTCAGAGTTACATTGAGTTATACCACAGGCTCTCCTGGGTCTCCAGTTGCCTACGGCAGACTTGGGATTTCTCAGCCTTTATAGTTGGAGCCACACACACACACACACACAAATACACACATACACAAACACACTCCTTGATTTTTGATTTGATTTATGGTTGTTTTAGTTTATAATTGTGCAAAAACAATACATAGTCGTAAAAACTGTACTTTCAATCTTGAGTTTTGATCTTTTCCTGGACTATCAATATGTGATACAATAGTCTCTCACGATGCTGTGTGGTGACAGTATCTTCAGCTCCCAATCAGCCATGGGATCACAGGGGTGAACTGCCAACATTCTACAGTGTGCTGTGTTTCTAAGCTGATGTTCAGGAGTCTAGGTATGTTAAATGCACATTAAGTTGACAATATTTCAATTTATAATAGGTTTATTAGGATATGACCCTATTATAAGTTCAGGGTTATGACCCTTCTTCCTATAGGCTGTGGTTTTCTGGAGTACCAGACTAGTATGACTCATACATACAGCTATCATTTGTTAATTTCTTACTATACACTAAGCCTCAGCTGAGATCCTGTTGTGGATAACATCACTTAATTTTCACATCAATCCTGTGAGTAAGGTGCTTTCATCCTGATAATAAATTTGATTAGACTGTACTCAGAACTTATCGAATGGTACACCAATGGGAAGTGGCTGATTGGGAATTTAAATGCATGTCTGTCTGACTTTAAAGCCCAGCACATACTGTTTATAAACACTGTTCTTTGTCACCAATATGTGTGAAGAGTTGTTTCCAAAGAAAATTTTTGTCACTTGAACACTGCTTTTGTCTTCCTTTTTTAAATTTTTTCTTTACTTAAAGAATATTTTTGAAAAATAGAAAAGAGGGAAGGTAATGAATTTATCAAATCCTTTTTACCTTCAAAATGTAATTTTAGGAAAATTAAAGAACTAGGTCAGTCTTTACAGTTCAACAAAGTACATTCATATATTTCTATTTTATCAAAATGTAACAACTTAAGTCAGCTGGGTGACTTGTTAACAGTTGTAATATTCGTACATGTTCAGATCAAAATTAATCATGACCATCTGATTCTGTCACCACTGTCAACATAGACCATCACTATCCTTCTCAAATCAGAGCCCTGGTCCGTTACCGCCAGACACTTAATAACATGTGGCAAATGCATAAACTGAGGTCTTGACCATCAATGTAATGTTACCCAAAAGTCATGCTTCCTTTTATTCCACCAATAATAAAGGAAAAGAGAGTTGTGAACTGTGACAACTCATCTGTCCTTTTTCTTCACCTTCCTACACCTAGTTAATTCTTACTTTTTTTTTTTTGGGGGGGGGGTTGTACCAGAAATTGAACTCAGGGACAATTGATAACTGAGCCAGATCCCCAGCCCTATTTTCTTATTTCATTTAGAGACAGGGTCTCACTGAATTGTTTAGTGCCTTGCTTTTGTTGAGGCTGGCTTTGAACTTATGATTCTCCTACCTCAGCCCCTCAAGCTGCTGGGATTACAGGTGTGCGCCACCATACTGCATGCTGAGGGATCCCATGTCCTCTGCCTGAGGGCAGTCTCTGGCCAAGGAAGATTTTTTTTTAGTCTGTGTATATGGAGCAGGCAAGAAGGGCTTGATCATTAATGTTCCAAAGAACATCCACTAACAAATTTGGGGCAATGGTTGATACAAAAATACCCCAGCTTCCTTTGGAATAATGGAGGAGGTTTCATACTGTCTTTCAGAGGATTCCTAATGGGAATGAGCTCTAGTTCTCCATAGCTGTGAGCTACAAACACATACTTAATTGGCTGTCCTTTCTTATATCACTTACTCCCTTACTGTGCTTCTTGGGAGCATATTTCAAAATAAATTGCTTATATCCAACCTGTGTACTAGTGTATGTTGTTGAGCAAATCCAAACTAAATAGTTTTTCCTGTTTTCTCTTTTCCCTTATGGAAAGAAATCTTGAAGAGAGTTTGGTGATGGTATCTTTGTGTCATTTGTATACATGAGAGACATAAGAACTCAATAAAATATTATGGCTATGCAAAAGGAAGAGTTTCATGTTTATTTAATTAGTAATAAATATAAATGTTAATATATTCACGTAACGTGATACTACACAGTGGCAAAGTAGATGTATTTATTTAATGGGCTACTACACTCTGTAAATAGTGAATTAATTAATTTCAGGCATACAAATACATAAATATTAAAAGTTAATATTTCAACTTAAAAAAAGCAAATTTCAATAGAATTTTATTAATATAAGGTTCAAAACCTTGCAATATTGTGTTCAGGGACACAAACATATGAGACAAAACTCAAAGAAAACACCACATTCAGGAGAATGATGTTATCCAGGAGGAGGAAAGAGTATGGGATCAGGCCAGAACCTCTGGGGATTTCCACTAGCATCATTCTTTTCTTTAAAGTAGGTAGAGGAATATGTGCACTGATTGTATCATAGTTTTTTACACTTAGCCTATTTTTCATTAATATGATTTTCTAATTCTTTAATATTGGATAAAACATTTTTAAAAAATATCAATAGGACAATAACAGATAACTTTGTGATATTGTCATTATAGGATATCACTGAGATAAGAATTAAAATAATTGTCTGTATGCTGAAACATAAAACAAAGGAATGATAGAGAATAGGCTAGATCCTCACCAATCTAGCTTTCCAATAATGACAGGTACTGTTGCCCTTCAACCACAGTCAACCAGTATACCACATAGCAATGCTTTTTTTTTTATCTTGAATGATTATTTTGCTAAAGGAAAAATTAGAATTTTTTTCACCAAGAACATTATGCAGATCAATTGACTGAAAACATTAATTTCTGATTTTTTAACTCATTAATTTCAGTCATTTTCATTGGGAACCAATCATCAGGGAGAGCAGGCAATGAACAGCTGCAGACCCCTGTGGATACTCCCTTGGAAGCCTCTCTCCACAGCCTCTCTCTGCCTTGTCAGTACCATGATCTGGACATCACTTTTCGTGTCTATGTCATAGCTTTCCATGGAGGCTCATAACAGATTTGTTCTCTAGGGGCTACAGAAAAGAAAAATTACACAAGTCAAAGTCAGAACAAGCTTTGCTTTTTAAAAGAATTTAGCAAGGAACAAAAAGTAAACATGAGTGGAGAGTGCTGTGGTATGTTGCAGAAATTGTTTGGGTAAATGGAGAATCCTTTAAAGAATCTAGAATATGGGGAGGGTGCTGGGTGTTGATTGGCCCCTGGGCCATGCTTAAAGCCAGTACCTCAGGAAATGCTTTCCTGCACCCCACCCTGCTCAAAACTATTCTCTGAACCTCTGCTCCAATACTCCTGTTCTTCTCCAGTCTCCCTGCCCTTAAACTTTGATCCTCTGTCTTTATCTGCCCTATAGATAAAATAGTCTGCAGGGTGCGCTACCTAATTTGAGGTTTCCTCCACTGATACTTTTTCTCAAATTCTTCTTATGGTGCCTCTTAAATGATAGAACCCATAAAAGTTTTATCCTACCATAAAAGTCAACCTAGTTCTCCATATACCAGGCTAGGCCTGATATTCTGGGCTTCTATTGAGATGGAGAGAATTTAGGCTGTACCTGGAACCACAAGACCTATAAGCATGTCTCAGAACTGCTATGACAAGCAGACAGGTTAGTTTGCTTTAGGCAATATGGATGGAGTTCTTTTCTCCAGGCCTCTCCCCCAAATCCAAGAACAACATATTGAGCTGGGGAAGAACCCTAAAATCAGAAGCTATACTGAATTTGAGCTTACTGCAAAGACATTCCTTCATAATGGCACGTTTAAGAGATATCAGCCTAAGTAATTCTCTCTCACCCTCCTCCCCAGATCCCTAAAAGAAAGATTGAGAAGTAGGCTGTTTCTTCCTGGATAATACTCCTCAGCTCTCCTTCCTCTGGATAAAGTAAGGTATCACACACATCTTGATCTTCAATACTTCTGTGAGGTCCTTCTCTATCCCAGAAAATGTACTCCTTTCTTCCTGCTTCGTATTCTACCCTGGTCTTAGTATGAACCCTGAGATGTTCTACTGAGTTGTACATCTGCTTCATGGATGTCAGAATAGACCCTGAGAATAATAAGTGTTTGCAATACAGGAAAAATAATTTGAGATATATTTCCAGCTTCCCCTTTAGACTCTTGCTTACTGAAAAACAAGAGAAAAACAGTACTGATAGAAGGTTTTTAGGCATCCAAGAGTAGTTACAGCCAGAAGTTTGCTTACCTTCTGGTTCTGTCAGCTCACCTTGGTGGCAGCAAAGACCCTGCACTGCTCATTGGGTGTGGCAGGTACTTCTGCTATGCTCTGATTCTGAGAAGGACAGACAAAAGAAATACACTTGCCTCTTCCTCTTCCTCCTCCTCTTCCATCATCTTCTTTCCAGTGTCCTGGTATCTTTTCCTCTGTATATCATTCTTTTTTAAAATAATTTCAATTTTATTTACAGATGTAACTACATATTAATTGTACAAACAGTTGGTTTTATTGTGACATATTCATATAGGCATACAGCATAATTTGCAAATTTAGACTCCAACAAATTTCACAACAAAAATAGTCCCCAAACATAAGACTTAACAAATTTGGACATGAAAATGATAGCTGTCCTGATTGAAATGGCACATTTTTTATTTGCAGGATATTTGAACCAGAAAACAAAATCAAGAAACACAGGAAATTAAACCAAAGTCAAACCTTTTCAGTAAAAAAAAAAAAAAGCTTTCTACTCACATGCTGCATTTGCACACTCAAGGCCTGTTTTCAGGTCCAATCCCTAAAGTCAGGATTTGTAAGTGATACAGAATATTGGTGCCTCTGCTTCACCTCAGAGACCTGTCTCAAGTCCTAGCCAGAAGTCTTTCTCTTCATACAATTTCTTCAAGGCTCTTAAGTAACAGGATGTTATTTGAAACCATAGAGATGCTTCTCTCTCACTTCAACAACAACCTTTAGACTAATAAAATGATAGCTTTTCCAATATAGATTTTTGAGAAGACAATCACTTTAGCCAAGATAAAACAGCATCAGAATGAGAAGAAAACGAGGTATAGAAATGAAAAAGCATGAAGACAATTAATATTGAGAAGCACAAGTTCCATTTTTTTTTCAGCCTACTGGGAAAACTTCTCTTCCTCTTTATGAGCCCTCTGATGTCCACAAGAAAACATGGATCCCAGTGTCCGAAGACCAACCTGGAGTCTTCATTCTGCTACTTGTTCCTTACACATCCTGAGACAAGTCAATTTAACTCTCAGCATCTCAGTCCCCCATGCTATAAAATAGAGATAATAATAATACCTTATGCAAACCAAATAAAAGTATTTCATCAGCTCTGATGTGTGGCTGAAGTGTTAGCTACTGATCTCTCTTTACAATTATTCAGGAAGGAAGCCAAACAGGTGGAGGGCCTTCCTCAGGGATGATTTTACCTCCTTGTTTCTCAGACTATAGATCAAAGGGTTTAGCATGGGAGTGACCAAGTTATTCAGGACTTGTACAGTTGCATCCAGCCAGGGGCTTGGGGTTGGCCTTAGATAGATGAGGACCACTGGCATGTAGAAAAGCAGGATGGCCGTGAGGTGGGCACTGCAGGTGGAGAAGGCACGGCGGCGGCCCTCTGCAGAGCGGATCTGCAAGATGGAGCAGACAATGCAGCTGTAGGAGGTGAGGATGAGGAGGAAGCAGCTGAGGGGCATGAGACCAACACTGATGAACCCCACCATCTCCAGGGCTGAGGTGTCCGCACAAGCCAGCTTCAGCATCACTGGGATGTCACAGAAGTAGTAGTCTACCTCATTGGGACCACAGTAGGGAAGCTGGAAGGTGAGAGTGGTCAGAAAGGTGGCCTGAATGCAGCCAAAAAATGAGGTCCCTGCAGCCAAGATGGCACACACTCTGTGGCTCATGATTATGGTGTAGCGTAGAGGGAAACATATGGCAACAAAGCGGTCATAGGCCATCACTGTGTACAGAAAACACTCAGTGCAGCCCAGAAAATGGTAGAAGAAGAGTTGGGACACGCAGCCCACATAGGAGATGGCTCTGCTGTTCCCTGAAAGGTAGAACAGCATCTTGGGAGAACTCACAGAAGGGAAAAATATGTCAAAAATAGATAGCTTGCACAGGAAGAAGTACATGGGGGTATGAAGCTGAGTAGAGGAAATAACTGCGAGCAAGATTAACAGGTTCCCCATGAGGGTGAAAATGTAAAAGGACAAAAACAGGACAAAGAGCATGGTCTCCAGGCCCTCTGTGTTTGGGATGCCCAGCAGGACAAACTCAGTTACCACTGAGCGATTCCTCATAGTTGTAAGAAAGTCTGACCCTGAGTAGGGGTATGAAGCACCAAAATTTGAGCAACAGAGTCACATTATGAAGCTTTGACTATGTTTTTAAACAGAAGCAATCTGCCGTCATACGAAAGGCAAGAAAAAAATCTATGCAACAATTTCAGGTAATAAGAGATGGATATTTCAGAGTCAGTCCATCCAATTTTGGAAGGGATATTTTGTAAAGGCTGATAATTGCCCACCATGACAAGAGCAGAAATTTAGAGTTATACTCAAAACATCTTCAAGTGAGAAAACTTTTTTCCATGGATTTATTCTCTTTGAGCACATTTATATTTTGAAGGCTTGTGATATCTTTAAGGAACAAACTCCAACTATTTATTACACTCTGCAAATAACAGAAAATGATTGTATTAAGATGCAGGTCACTCTATATGAATCCTGGCTTAGCCTTTTATTAGCTGAAATAATAAAAATAACTGGCACAGTGTCTTCCATAGGCCTGGTTTCATCATCTGCTACATGGAAGCCAAAATTTTTACAACAATGTCTGCACAAAACATCCTGGTATCACAGTAAAGTTTATGAAATGTCAATGAAAATATCTGGCAAATCTCTATATCCTAAGTAAAAATTTCCCTTTGTTTTATGCATCTTAAAGATAATTATTTAAGTATTTTCTACTAATGCTGGTATTATGTAATTATTTTCCAATAAATGTTTTACTAAATAACACTGTTGAGTAGACTTAGATAACATTCTCTTCAGAATACATTCCTCTGGATTTTAGAGTGCTAAGTTCCACAGTTTTATCACATGACACTGCTCTTGTTCTTCCAGTACTTTAATTATTTTTTCTGCATGGACTATGGCTACTTAGAAATATTAACCAAAACAAACAGTAGCAGCAAGAAAGCATCAAGTTCATGTTACTGTGACAAAGTGGAAAGTACAGTGTCTCATGTTGAACTAAAAGAAACAGAAGCACTAATTAGGAAGGTTATACAAGTGAAGAGTAGGATCTACTGACTGGAAGATACAGGTTCTCCTTCTCATTATTCACTTAACAATGATAATAATAATTGCACATATTATACACATACACACATACCACTTAATTAGTACTTACTATGTTCCAAGGACTGGATCCATGCTGTGAAACTGTGACTTATCTTTTAAATGTACCTATAAGAAGAATTTACTATTACTATTACTATTTGCAGATAAGAGATAGAAGCTCAGAAATATTAAGTAAGTTGCCCAAGAATGCAAAGCTAGTATATGGCAGAGCTGTTTTATTTCATTGTCTGTACCCTTAATCATTAGTCAAATCTGCCATCTCTTTGTCTCTGCTTTCTGAGACAGTCTGCTCCACTTATGGGCAATTATACCCTTCCAGATGTGTCCTCACAATTGCTTTACATGAAGGTGAGAAAAATCTTCGCATCTAAATTATTCCTGGTAGTTTGCAGTCTGCATTTTAGACCACACTTGGTTAAATTCTCTTTAGCTTTTAGAGATCATAAAATTGGGTTTTCCCATGCCTTTGATGCTACAGCATAGTACCAGCTGTAGTATAGTAGTATAGTGTCTAATACAGGAGCTTTCTCATTATAGAGCCACATTCAAGATAGAAATTCCAATCATATGCTGTGAAAAGTGCCTCTGAAAAACATTTCTGAAAATAAAGACCATGCCAGAATAAGTCAGCTATACCACTCTAGAATTGGGCAAAAATATAAACACTAAGATAAAAACACCGACATTTTAGGGGGTGGGAGTTAGATTCTACCACTTGTTACTAATTCTAGCCACACCTGAATAGTCTCTCTGACCAACTCAAATTCCTGTGAGCTCTTCACTCCCTTCCCTTAGTTATCTAAGGCTCACAGAAGTCCCTATTCCTTGCCTATAATCAGACACCATGATAATCCCTGATTATATGATGCTATTTGATTTTTAAGTCCATTTCAGGAAAAAAAGAAGCCCGAAGGACCAGAAAGGTCCCCATGTGTGATCTCGTTAATAAGTAGGAGGCAGAGATTGATGGTGAGACCCTGACAGAAGTTTAACCTTGCATTTACCGTTGCTGAGCAGAGCACAGTGTGCTCCAGCCATAGGAGCCGCCATTCCTTACTTAAAAAAAAAATAGAATCTCATGGGGTTTGTGCAATTGAGACCAGCATACACTCTTTCTCCCTGGGTTGCTTTCTTAGAAGTGCTTTTTACATCCTTTTAAGCCCTGATTGGAACTCAGTGATAGCTCTGAGGAAGCAATTAGTTTGTCAACCTCATTCATCATCTAATCATGAGATAATGGTAATGATATCATCATAAAGAGGTGCTCTGAGATTGATGGCATGGGAAGATAGGCTGCCTACTAAATATTAGATCACCTGCTATGCTATGCCCACATTTGGTAACCCTTCACACCTTCAAGCCTTTGCTTGTGATACTATTTGTCTCATCACTTTTAAAAATATCTGTGTATCAATGTAGCTATGTATTTGTTTCTAGTAAATATCACTGTTTAAGACAGGACTATAATTAGATAGTAACTCTTATGCATCTACTAACAGTATGTATCCTCAGGTACATATTTCAAAAGAGAAATATGGGGGAGCCATTCATAACAGAATGACCAAAATAAATATATAAACCGTCTCAAAAACAAATTATCAAAACAGTTATTATTTAGTTAATAATTAATTCTAAGCACTTACCACATAATAAAAGCTGTGATAAAAATTTTCATTTATTATTACATTTAATCTCTAAAAGAAATTTCATAAAGTAGGTGGTATTGTTTGACATAATTTTTTACAAAACAAAGAGTAAGTAACTTAAATATTAAATAATTAGGAGGAAACTAAGCTGAGACTCTAATTTCAAAGTACTGATAATGAATTCCAGAGATTTGAGTTTTGTACTCAAAGAATAAAAAGAGAGAAAAATGTGGTCTTCAGATGTTTGCAGAACTTGTGGATAGTCGTGATATGAGTTGTTTGATAAACTGACTCATGAATCATGCACAGACATAATAGGAAGATTTATTTTAAAAGTAAGAAGTAATTATTATAATATATACATTAATAAAATAAGCAACCTTATAATACCACCTTTTCTCTATCACTGTAAGTATTTAAGAAGATATAAGGAGAACAGTCTTAAGTGTACTATTGAGGATATTCTCATTGTGAATGAATAACTGAAGATAGTGCATGTTCTTTCTGATTTTAAAATTATTTTATTTATTTTGTTATTGTACCTCCATCCAAATTCATGCTGTAGACCTGAGTCACTAACTCAGTTGCTGAATTAGGAGATACTAAGAAAGCTGCTGAAATGTGAAGCTATTGTTATGGTTGGCAGCTCTGGTACTAACATACAGTTTATACTAGCAAATACAGATACCCATTGTCCTGCTTTTTGCCACATATGACTTGGTTTCAACATCCAATTCTCAAGTGCATCTGACTGACAGAACCTCAATCACATCAAAACCTCAAATGCAAGAGGGTCTGGGAAACAATGTTTTATATTTTCTAAACTCTGCCCACTAGGAGTTAATGTGCTGATCTACCTACCACAGTGTCTATCCTTCTTTCTCTTTCATTTCAGTGACAATAATTTCTTCTTCTTTTTTTAATTTTAAAAAAACATATTGTTGGGGTATAATCAACATATGAAAATATTTATGTATTTAATGTGTGCAAATGAGTTCAAAGATAAGTATATACCATGAAGCCATCATCACAAACCTGTGCATACAATGAACCTACACACTGCCTCCAAAAGTTTCTTTCACCTTTAAACAAATGTTTAGGTATGAAATGCAGTTTATCATCTATAAGCCCTATGCAGTACAGTAAATCTCTAAGACTTCTTCGTCAGTATAACTGAAAATTTGTGCCCTTTGACTAATATCTCCCTGTCTTCCTCTTCTTCAACACCCTGGCCACCACCATTCCATTCTCTGCTTCTGTGAGTTTATGGCATTGTTGTGACTGTAAGTTTTTTGTGATTATTTTAAATTTTGTTATGCAACTGGTATAATGTAGGAAGATTTTCCTTTTTTCCAAGGCTAATTTACTCCTTTTTAAAATATTGAGTACGAAAAATATCTTAAAACAGATATTAGCTGGAGTCAAGATTAAACCAATTAAATAAGTCCATAGAAGCAGTATCATGTATCTGATAAGTGACTTGCATCTTATCTTTAAGAGTTCTTAACAGTAAGAACATAATCTCCTACATGAACAATTAGGATGTTAAGAACTTCCCTATTTTGGTACAATACTGAAACTAAATCAATCACTTGATATTGTATTTTTTAAAAGTATTTAAAGTATCTTCTATGGAAACAAAATTAGCAGAGTATGATCTTAGTTCTTGAGTTTGGAAAACAGCTAGTCAAAATATCTCTAGTTTTGAAACTGAGGATCTTAAAAAGGTGAAATCAGGATGGTATTTCCAATATGATTGATTTTTCTGCTTTGAACATTGAATGCCATTGTCATATCACTGGGTATTGTAGCTACACCTCTTGAGTGATCCACACATAGCCGCAGACATGAAGGTTGTCCACATAGTGTTGTTGTGAAATTTCTGATGTGTAATAAAGTCATAAATATGCAGCTTGTAGGACTTGGGGAGAGAGCAGTTTTGTTTTTAGTGAAAGTAGAATTCAGATCTTGGCTACAAGTATATAAAGAAAACACAAAACACTGAATAGAATTTGATAAAAGGTATGATATGGTATACTCACACAAACCTAGATGTATGCCTACTACACACCAGGATATATATTATAGCCTATTTCTCCTAGACTCCAAACCTGTAAAATGTTACTGCACTAAATACTATAGGCAATTATAACAACAGTAAGTATCTGTGTACTTAAACATACCTAAACAAAGAAATTTACAGTATAAAGGAAAATAATACAGGTCAGAAATTCAGATCCACATTAAGAAAGGAAGAGTAAAGAGAAGGAATAAATCAAGATAAAATAAATCTATACTTTTTATTCATAATTGATCTATAAGCTAATTTTTAAGGTAATAGTAATAATTCTTTGAGGAGGTAGGTGAATAAGTGAAACGCATGCATAGGAGCAATTCCATAATGGATGGGAAAAAAGAATTTAGGAACACTGTTACAATGCATAAAATGGTACAATGTTACTTGAATGTGGTCCTAGATTAATTTTAAATGTATATTACAAATTATAAGGCAACAGCTAAAACATTTTTTAAAAAATATAACTAATATGTTTAGGGTAGAGACAAAATAAAATCACATAAAAGTGATTAATTAAAATTAGAACAGGCAAAAACAAGATGGAAAGATCAAAGAACAAATGAAACATAGAAAATAGTAACAAAAAAACAAATAATCCAATCAACAAATGGGCCAAAGATCTAAAACAGACACATCACAGAGGAGGATATACAATCAATAAACAAGTACACAAAAAAATGCTCACCATCTCTAGCAATCAGAGAAATGCAAAGTAAAACCACTCTAAGATACCATCTCACTCCAGTAAGAAAGGCAGCCATTATGAAGTCAAAAAATAACAAGTGCTGGCGAGGATGTGGGGGACAAGGTACACTTGTACATTGCTGGTGGGGCTGCAAACTGGTGCAGCCAATTTGGAGGGCAGTATGGAGATTCCTTGGAAAGCTGGGAATGGAACCACCATTTGACCCAGCTATTCCCCTTCTTGGACTATACCCAAAAGACCTAAAAAGAGCATACTACAGGGACACAGCTACATCAATGTTCATAGCAGCACAATTCACAATAGCTAGACTGTGGAACCAACACAGATGCCCTTCAACAGATGAATGGATTTTAAAAATGTGGCATTTATATACAATGGAATATTACTCAGCATTAAAAAATAACAAAATCATGGAATTTGCAGGGAAATGGATGGGACTAGAGCAAATTATGCTAACCAAAGTTAGCCAATCCCTAAAAAACAAATGCCAAATGTCTTCTCTGATATAAGGGAGGTGACTCAAAACAGTGTAGGAAGGAAGAGCATGAGAAGAAGATTACCACGAAACAAGGAAAAGAGGAGGGAGGGAAAGG